TACTGCAGGGGGTCAGGGGTCACCCAGGGGACCTCCACAGCACAGGGAGGGGCTTTTAATGTTGGAGGTTACCATGGTAACAGCACAAGTATTTGAATAAGTGCACGTGTCCTCGTGTGACTGCACGCTCCATGAGCCTGTCACTGCTGAGCACGTCAATTTCCCCATTGAAGCATTTTCTATTCTATTCTATTCTATTCTATTCTATCGTACACACATGAACTTCACGTGAAAGCATGTATTTATGTTTCATGCTGATATTTGCTGCTCTGTCTTCGCCCTTCAGAGTCTGCGGATCAGAAAAGTCAGATTTCTACGAGCAGCAAAGGCGTCTCCGAGGAAACGTCTCCACGTGAAGAAGGTGACCTGGAGCCGGTGGCGGCGGCAGGACCGGCGGCGGTGACTCTGAGCTCGGTCTTTCATGTCTCAGCAGGGAGCACAGGTCCTGCTGGCTGCTGAGGCTGATCTGTGGGAGAGGAATCCCTCGCAGGCCTCCTCCTCCTCCTCGCTGATGGGCAGCAGACTCTGAGCTCCTCATGATCACGCTGACATTTAAACGTGTGTCGGAGCTTCTACTGCTGTCCTGCTGGCTGCTGAGGTTTCCTCCACCCGAACATCCACCCGACCAGCTCCTCCCATCACGGGTCACATTCAGCTTTCTGGTTATTCACTCATTTTTGGCCCTGTTCCATTTTTAACTTGATTTTGTTTGTAATGGTTGTGTTCACTTAGAGACGGTTTCACCTTCAAAGAACAGAAACGTGACCAACATGAGCGGAAACATGCGTGCGTTGTTAGGGGCGTGGCCTCTTTGTCCTTTGTATCTGTCCATCACAGTCGGGGTTCTAGGCTGGAAGTCTCCTCCTCTTGAAGGCGACTCTTGCAGCTTTTAGCCAACCCTGGTACAAATCTGACCGGCATCAGACCGGCGACCTGTCCAGGTGTGCCCCGCCTCTCACCCTATGGCCGCTGGCATAGGCTGAGGCTGACCTGGATAAGTGGAAAATAGATGATGGATGGAGCAAATCTAAAAAAATCCACGGCCAAAACTCTGAGTAACTAAATGAGCCGAGCGTATCAGTAATATGTCGCCTTCACAGCGTTGCAAACACGAGGACGGAGGAATAGCAGCTCCTGCTCTGCCACATCGGGCTGTGCAGCTGAATAATTTAGTGTTGTGAAGAAGCAGAGACGTGGCCCTGAATGCAGAAGAAGAGCGACTCGCTGGCTGTCCAGATCACGAGAAGTGCGACGAGCGAGTCACATATCAGAGCGTCTCCAGCGCCCGCAGTTTTGGCTCGCCGTAGCGTGGAATAAAGAGAGAGAGGCTCCAGACCGGACTTCACTGAGGCGATCGTGGTTACTCAGCCTAACTGTGACATGTTTCAGATCCAAACCTCCATCCGTCCAGGTCTCAGTAACTACACCTGACCGAGCGCTCTGACCCTGAGTATTTAATCTCAGCAGTATTTAGTGTCTGCTCTGTGCTTCTTAACGTCTCTCCGTCCTGATCCAGACTTTCACAGGAGCAGACACTCCAGGTAAAACCCATCATCGCCAAAAACACCAGAGACGTTCAAAGGCTGAGGCAGCACACAGACCCCCTGAAGCAGGAAGTCTCAAACATCGTGGGTCCACGCGAGCAGAGAGTCCACGCCGCTGCTCCCTCTCTTTGTTTCGCAGTACCCTCTGCTTCGTCGAGCTGCGGCTGGCTGACTCAGCCTAATAAATTTGTAAACCTCTCACAGCATCAGATAATCTCCTCTGCCTGACCGAGCCTCCAATTAGCCCGTGTTCAGGGCCAGATGTGGTGTAAACGCGCCCGCTAATCCTGCTGGCCGTCCCAGCTGAGTCAGACGGAAACCACCCGCGAGGCGGGAATGGTCCACGCCGCGAGATGCAAACTCAACAAATCCCGTCCTTAGCAAAAAAAAACAGAATGGGGGGGTTACAGCACATCACCTGTAAGTAATGAGGGCAGCTCTCTGTATGTACACCTCCTGTAAACGACGCTGCGCTCTGACTCTGAATCAGCCGTGAAAAACCTCCTGGCCGAACTCTGAGGGGTCACCTGTCATTTAAAGGTGTTTCAAAGGTCAAAGGTCAACACGAGTCCTTCACATTGACTTACATCAGCTGGTCTGTTCAGATCAGCAGCATCTTTGACACTCACATGGAGCTGCAGCGTCTCCGTCCACTGTCCAATCATGCGGTAGCCCGGCCCAGTCACGTTGTTCCACTGATACTGGAACAGGTCGTAGCGCCCGGGAGCGTCGCCGTTACGGTTGAACGTCACAGACGTACCGGCACTTCCTGCGGAGGAAAACAGAGACAAATAGCCAATCAGCTCACAGAGCTTAAATTAGTTTGGTCAGTAATGAGCCGCCATGACCTCGGAGATGCTGGAAGACGATTACAGGACAGTAAATTACCAGTAATACCAGTATACCCAGTATTACCAATAGTAACAGTGTGTGATTCTGGGCTGGCCCACACAGAAGGTGTTGTGTGCTGATAATCAGGGCGTTGCCGAAACAGCGTGTGGAGCCACTGGCAGTCAAAACAAACGCAGACGGAACAGATGGAGGAAAAACGTGTGAGTCCAACGAAAAACAGGAAACCTGAGTAACTCGCAGCAGCCGATAAACTGCAAAGCTCCAAAACTCAGGTCGCTGTGGGAGACACGTGTTCCCCGAGCGGCTGGAGGCTGGTTGTAGGTGCAGGTGTCAGCAGGTGTGACCTTGTGATCGCTTCGGTGGCTTCCAGATTGCTGTGGCTGCCTGTAGTTGCCATGGAAACGCTCACTAACTGGAGGAAGCTGGAAGTGTGATGCAATGAAGAACATTCACCTTCAAAATAAAAGCTTTTGACATGTGTTGGTTGGAGCTGTTAGGCACGACTTTACTTTGAAGGTAAATGTTGCGTGTTTGTGTCTGCACACACGTCTGTGTCTTCTGTGAAGATGAGGTCATTAAACATGCTCCAAAAGGCTCCACCTACTCTAGTTGAAGCCCAGTAGACAGCTAGCAGCTAGCTAACAGCTATAGCCGCCTGTGTCCTCATCCACCTGTCAGTCACAGAGGCCACGCCCCTAATAATGCAGACCTTAAATTATCTGCAGAGACCAAGCAGGTTGTGTATCAGGCTGTTATGGTTATTTTAACATGGGAGTCTATCGGGACTGACTCACTGCTGCCCCTGCTGGATGTCAGAGGAACTGCAGGTTAGTGCTTTGTCTGTTTTCAGAATAAAAGTACGGCGAGGCTGAGGCGACCGCAGTGTTCATGCTGAGGTGTGAAGGCTCCACTCACACCATCACTAACTGTTTTCAACTGCTGAATACGCAGCCATTCATTTCCATTAATGAGCTGCAGCATTATTGATGCAGACCATAAGAGCAGCAGTGCATGTTCACTCTGCATGAATGCATCCTGAGAAAGAAGCTGCGACGAACACGTGTGATCAGCTCAGAGATAACAACTTCTACACAACTACAACTTCTACACAACTACAACTTCTACACAACT